GCAAGCAGATTAAGCTATTTCCTCTAGAAGCAGCACCCCAGATCAATCAGATTTTGGCTATAAACAGACAACCTGATGATAAAGCCATAGAGTGGGATTTTTAAAGCATTTAAGTGAGGAGCAGATGTCCCACGGCACTCAAATGGGATTTCTGCTCCTGATTCATTTAAGGTATGTCTGCAATGCAATCAGTTGTGATTTCAGCAGGTGTAGACATACCTGAGCTAGCTTTAATTTCTCACTAGTATGGGTTCCAACAGAGTTGAAGCCGGTGTTGCAGTGCCAGCTACTTTCTCAATTACAATTTCACGTGCGTTTTAGCTTCTCCTGTGTACTACCTTGTCAAGTACAGATAGTCCCCGACTTATGAACGAGTTACATACCAAACACTTGGTCGTAACTCCATCTGTTCATAAGTCAGACTACATCCATTTAAATGTGACCGTGCTGTTTGTAAGTGCGTATCATGTGTTTGTAACTCGGGGACCGGCTGTAATGCGCTTAATGGGAGGTTGGCCATAAATACGAACGGTTGTAAGTCGATGTGTTCGTAACTCGGGGACCACCTGTATTACAGTACGGAAGATCATGTTCAGATTATAAACAATCATAGTGGTGCCATATTGGGACTCCGAGGTTATCCTAAATATTCAAGGCTAAATATGTAGAACAACAAGATGTTTCAAAGTATATCTTCCCTGTTTATGTATTTCATTAAGGTAGCCGCACAGGGCAGTATTTTTGTCAGCGGGCAATAATCCACAAGATGGACACTACTGGGGAATAATTTGTTTGTGTGTGTTTGCTATGTGTTCAACAGGAAGTGCTTTTAACTTGTGTGGCAACAAGGTATGCAGAAGGAGTCTGTGATGAGGGCAATAGTTGTGCAATACTATTGCAACATATCCTGGTGTTAAACAATACTCCGGGACTTGCTAAACCACTTATAGCAGTAAGCTTCTTTGTCTAACTTCCCAACCTGTGGAAGGAGTCCCCTTCAGATGTGTATCTAAATTAAGGTGAATGCTTTGTCTTCAAATCTGTAATTCTATATCGTGCCCCTTTAAATGTAGCAGCCCTCCGTTAATGATCATAACCACCAAAAATGTTTTATTTTTGTCAAAAAATAAGTTACAAAAATGTTCAGCTTGTGAAGTTTCACAATAGAGGGAGATTATTACACTCCATTCAGTTAGGCTATGTCTACACTGCACGGTTCTTTTGAAATAAGCTATTCCAGAAATAGCTTGTTTTGAAATAGCACGTGTACGCTTCAGAAGCCTCAAAATGAGTCCGAGGCAAGCTTCCCTAATGTAGACGTGCTATCTCAATTTAGAACCCCAGGAGGAATAACTTAGAATGGCCCTGGTGAGGGGCTATTTCGAAATAGCAGAATTGCTGTGTAGATGCTTGCGTAGTTATTTCGGAATAATGGCCATTACAGCCGGTCCCCAACTTACAAACAAGTTACGGACCAAACACTTGGTCGTAACTCGAAGTGTTCATAAGTCGGACCCCTTTCATTTACATGTGATTGCGCTGTTCGTAAGCACAGATCGTGTTGGTAACTTGGGGACCGCGTTTACAAACGCTTAATGGGAGATTTGGTTGTAAGTACGAACAATTGTAAATTGACCATTCGTAACTCGGGGACCAGCTGTATTCCGAAATAACTTTGCTGTGTAGACATACCCTTAGTGAAGACAAAATCAAGGATCTATGACCGTGGTCCCCAACAGTTCTACCAGACCATTTGTTGTTTTTTAAGTTCATCTCTGGTTATTAGTTCATCATAGAATGATATTGAGCCACCAGTGTGATGTGCCTGTGAAAAACAGATTTAAAATCCTATGATGCATCAGACAAGATATTTCCAGCACAAGCAGGGAAGCATTAATGCCATTGTTTAAGTCCGTGGTCCTCAACACGGTGCCCGCGGGGGGGGCCCTGGCCCCGGGCGCGTGGCTATGGGGGGGCCGCCCCTGGGCATGCGGCTATGGGGGGGGCCGCCCCCTGGTGCCCGGCGGGCGAATGGCCACGCCCCCTGGCGCCCGACAACCTGAAAAGGTTGGGGACCACTGATCTATGAAAACAAGGTGAAACACACCAGGGGAAGCAAAATTTAACTATTAATACAGGCTCCTTTGAGTTGTATGTATCATGAGAGAAGAAAATAAGTCATCATCAATCTGGAGAGAAGAGAGATGATTTGAAGATAAAACAGTCTCTATACAACAATTGTCACTGTTAAAACAATGAAAATTTCACAGAGCGTTATTTTGCAGGTTTTACTTGTCATAAGTGGGCATTGCAAACGGAGTTTTTTTGCCATTGGGATCTTTCCAAATAACAAATACATTTGATTTGCATTTTTAACTGCATGTAAAATTCCTAATGTAGCATGTTTCATTTACCTCCTTGTAATTGATATGAGTAGTCTGACAGACGTGGCACTTTCTTGCAATATCTTTAGGAAATCTCACTGAATTAAGTTGAAATGGCTTTGGAGTACCCTGTATTTTAAATGCTACTGTGAATGTATTATTGTGGGATTGTGTAAACTGAATGGCCAATATAATTCCTGGACAGTGTTGTGAGGTTCTGAAGACTCCTTGAAACAATGTGTCAGACAAGAAGGAACTCTTGGGACAAATAAAATGAAGAGGTTCCTGCAAAGTAACTGGGGGGGAAATGAACACTAAGTCTCACGTCCATACTCCACCTTTGGAAGCTCTCCCTTAGGAGAGAACCATTGAATGATACAGGGTCTCTGAAGATCAGAAAGACTCCAAGCGATGTAAAGGAAAGGCTAAATTAAGCATGCGTGTGCTTGTTCAGAGCCAAGCAAGTTATGAATTTGTTAGCCGCAGAAAAATGAAAAATGCTTCATGCAGTTTGACGTACTGATCATCTGCCAGACCTCTTGTTGTTGTTTGTGTGTGTGCTTTGTAATGCTTTCACCTTAAATAAATGTACTTGCTTAGAAAGAGCTGTGAGGTAACGTAGCAGTGTGCAATTTAGGGATATTAAAATGCAGTTAATTGACTAATTGAGTAGTCGATGGACTTTCTGTTGACGAGTCGATAGGCACTTCCTTCCTCAAAGGAGGACTGCGGAGGAATGTGGAACTCCGCGTACAGCCCGGGGCCAGTGGAAGTCCTGCTGACTCCGGGCTGCATGCGGATGCTTGACCCCGCGCTCCATGTTCCGCACGGCATTTCAAGCCTAGGTGTGTCAGGTTGGTCTCCATCAGACAATTAACATGAAAGGGACTGTCTCAGTTAGTGACTCACTGCCATGGCACTTTCATCCTCAAGGAACTCACTATCCTCAATACCCACCTTGCCTCAGTGACCTTACTGCCAGTTGTCATCTAGTCCCTTGCCTCGGGGGCACACTGCAGTCTGAAATGGCCACTCATCATAGGCAAGGGGCATGGACCTGCTGCCTTCTGCTGCCCTTGCTGGGTTCCTGCAGCCATAGTACCCTTCGGGCCTCTGTTGCTGAGCCTCTGTCTGGGCTCACTCAGCCCAGTGCTCTCCTTGCTCACTCTGCCTTTCTGCAGCACTGCTGTGTCTGTGGTACCTCACTAGCAGGCAGCTCGGTCCCTCTCCCTCCAGAGCTAGAGCAAAAGTGCTCCTCTCCTGCAGACACCCTTTTTATATGGCCTAGCTGAGCCCTGATTGGTTGTCACTAGCCCACTTCTGGCTCCTGGGACAGCCCTCTCCAAGGGTGGTTTTAACCCTTTTTTTTTTCCTGAAGTGGGATTGCTGCTTCACTACAGGGACACACCCAAAATCAGGTTCTGCTTTGAAAACATTTTGGTAATCACAGCTAAGATGCAACTAACAAACTAATTCCCTTTTATCCCCCAACAGTCGAACTTAAGTCTTTTTATCTGAACCACTAACACAATGCACCAACCCCCCATGACACAACAATCAGTTTACTTCAGATACATTATTACTGATAATTCCCCATTACACCCAAATTGGGTGGAATAAAAGGATTATTTTGTTAATATACCAAACAGTGTTTGTACCTTATTCTAACCATGCAGACATTCTTCGGTCGAAAGCCTGAATGTTTAGAAAAAATGTAGTTAATGTCCACTGTGAACTAGATCTGTTTAACCTTAAATGTTATTCTGCAGCACTATGCATCTCAAATTACTTTTCCCTATTACCACCCAGACCTAATTTTGCTTGTTTTAATAATGATCATCTACCCTCTGGCACACTGACATTTTATAGGGAAAGCAGTGTAATTATGATAACTTACATTGCTACAATCTGATTTAGTTTTATTTGACATTTATATTCCAGTCGTGCCCACTGAAAGTTATTTCAATATTTAGCATTTCAAGCCTGTGCAATCACCATTTCCCCAGTGTGTCTCAATACCAGAACTAGAATTTTCCTTCAGTTTAATAGAAGAATGGTTATTGTGGAATGGCACTCGCTCTCTTAAAGGGGGGGGGACAAATCTCCCATTACTGTTTGAGAATATGAATACTTCAAAAAGCCTTTAAAAATGGGATATATTGTCGTGAATCTGCCAAAAACGAATGTTTTGCTAAAGAAAAAAACAAATGTCACCATGGCTCAGTGATTCATTGTGCATATGTAACCGTGGTGAGTGTATATTATGTATTCACAGAGGACATGAGATATTACAGTCCCCAACTACAGCATCAGGGCTCTTTGAGTGGCCTTAGTTTTACACTTTTTGAACGGGGACCTTTGGAGCTCTCTAACTGATGGGTAAGGAAACTGAGGCGAAGTTGTATGAGTCCAGTGAGAGTTGACATCAGAGGTGTGATAAGAATGTGGGAAATCTACACTCCCAGCCCTCAGTTCCATTAACTTTTAAACACTGGTTTATTGTTGCCCTGGAGAACATATGAAGCAGATGGAAACAGTTTGTCAAACTTCGAACCCAGAACTCCTTTGGGGGGTTCTGTTGCAGTTAGCTCTCAAAATGTTGTTTTTGATCTCTAGGTTGGAAGCAGAGGAACCATTCGAGATTACACAGACTTTAGTGCATCCAGGGATGCTGAAGCTGTTCGGAAAGCAATCAGGGGAATTGGTAAATATGTATCTAAGTTTCACTCCTATGTTGTTAGAAAAAGCAGATGCGGTTTCAAAAAGTACAACATTGATGGAATTTGGTCTGTCATAAAAATGGCTATACTGGGTCAGGTCAATGGTTCATCTAGTCCAGTATCTTGTCTTCTGACAGTGGTCAATTCCAGGTGCTTGTGAGGAAACAAACAGAATAGGCAATCATCAAGTGATACATCCTCTGTCCTCCACTCCCACCTTTGGGCCTCCAGAGGCTAGGGATGCACAGACTGTCGGGTTGCTAATAGCGGGAACATATCTTAATTCTTTTTTGACTATTGTTATACTCTTGGCCTTCAGAACCTCCCCTAGCAAGGAGTTCCATGCGTGGATTGTAAAGTATTTCCTTCTGTTTGCTTCAAAGATGCTGAATATTAATTTCATTGGGTGAACTTTGTGTTATTTAAAGAAGAAAATAATATTTTTCTTCTTTCTTCACACCAGGTATTTGTTTTTAGACCTCTGTCATAGCCCCTCTCTGTAATTTTTTCCCAGATGAAGAGTCCAAGTCTTGTTACTCCCTCTCCACTTATGAAATCTGTTCCATACCCTTAATGATTTTTCCTGCCCTTTTCTACGTGTCGGGTGCATCTAGACTGGCAAGATTTTGCGCAAAAACTTTCCAGCTGTCTACACTGGCCGCTTGAATTTGCCCAAGAGCACTCACTTTGTAATGTACAAAATCAGTGCCTCTTGCGCAAATACTTTCACGCTCCCGCTCGGGGAAAAAGCCCTCTTGCACGAGAGGGCCAGTGTAGACAGGCCAATGGCTAATGATCGGGGCTTTCTTGTGTAAAATCATGTCTAGACTGGCCACGGATGCTTTTGCGCAAAAGCACTTTTTGCACAAAAGCATCCGTGCCATTCTAGACACGCTTTTGTGGAAATACTTTTAATGGAAAAACTTTTCCGTTAAAAGTATTTACGCAAAATCATGCCTGTCTAGACGCAGCCGTCCAGTTCTGAGGTATTTATTTGAGATATCGTGGCCAGAACCGCACACATATTCAAGATTTAATGCCACTATACAAATAGGAACTATGATGATTGGATATGTTCTCATCTTGACAAGAGAGTACTGCTACAACCACCTGAAAACCCCTGACGCTAAGATAATCTCATCTGCCTAGGTCTCCTCTCCATTTTAAAGTATCTGCCATTTTGCCTTTGTGGATCATAACTGAGTGCAGTATTCAGGTCATGCTTTTGAGAAACAGGCCAAATCTATCCCAAAGTGCTGATGACTATTACCCATAAGATATATCAGATGAGCCACAAAAATTAACTTCTATCTCACCACATATGAGTTCATAATAGCAGTTCCTGAGGCATTCCAGTTCTTATAACAGTATTAAAAAAAACCCGTTTTTTTAGATGAATTTTTCCTTACAACCAGTCTCCTCAAATAATAGGTTCTTCTGATCCCAAAAGATCAGCCACACACCAGGTTAATATACAACATAGGCTTACCCAAATATCATGCTGCTGTCAATCCTTTGAGTATTTACATTCAAAAGGTTTAGTTATAAAAAGAATGGAGGACAGATGAGAGTTGAAAATGGTTAAAGGAATCAAATATGTACAGACATGAGTGATCTGCAATCAGATTCATAGCGTTGTTGAGTTCTGTAGTTGCAGATGGAGCTTTCGGCATCAGTCCACAGCTAAGTTAATGTCCATTTTAGGGGCATCAGGATATCCTGGGATTCATTCTTTATGGCTTGCGGTTTTCCCCATGAGCATCCAAGCAGATATGAAATGAAAAAGGTTCATGTCCCAAAGGCCTTTATACTTTCTTTCCTGCAGCCTCTTAGCCTGGGAGAACAATAGGCATTTGGTGTAACCTTCTGTTTGCCAAATACCATGGCAATTAGCCTAAGGTAATTCATCCATTAAACAGTTCATATACAGTTTGCCACAACCTTCAAAGAGACATATAGACAATAATACAAGTCTCCTCACAAATTTTAATACAGGTTGACACTCTCTAGTCCAGGAACATCCATGGTCCGGAATGATTTTAGTTAGCTGGATGTCCACTTTCCATGGGTTTGGCCAAGTTTCCCGTGGTCCCATAACATTTATTTACAGCCCTCAGTCTTGGCTGCCAGTGTTCTGAGCTGTTATTTAGCTCTAATTTACCCCTTAATGTTCTCTAACAGCCCAGTAAGCAGTGGAAGTATTGGTACTACTGTTAGACAATATTGACTTCACGTGGTCCGGAAAATTCTCTAGTTTGGAACCAGTCAGGTCCCGAGGATGCTGGACTAGAATGGGTCGAGCTGTATTCCCTTTAGATCTTGAATCAAGGCTATAATAATAGACAAGAATTTTGTTCACATCATAAGACCTGAGCAAACACCTTCTGTTCCACTGCTCCAGTCATGCAAGTTCTCATTTCTACGCTCTATTCTGATATAATGTAGTAGCCCAACTACCATTTACATATGTTCCTAACAAGTCTTCAGAGGTCAACCTGGGTCAGTCAACCTATGAGCTAGTTAACTTTTTCTAGCCATGTGCCGCATCTTATTCAGATGTCCAACATTTCAATCAGATAACAACACAACCATTTACATTTTCTGTTTGCTTTCAGCAAGTATTCCTGATGGCAATAGTTTCAGAATAAATTGAGAAATCAGTGAGGACAGCTTGGTTACTAAAATGCCTCCTTGCAGAAATACAAAGGAGTGAACAATATGTTTTGTTGCCCAAGGAATTAAAACTACAGCAAAAGCTGTGTCATCTGGCACTCGTCCAACCGGAAAGCCCTATAAACTAGCATTTCTGATCTTCATAAGAATGGCCATACTGGGTCAGACTCATGGTCCATCCATTCAGGCTCCAGCCTGTAGCCCCTCCTGCACCCCAGATTCTCCCTCCTTCCCACACCTAACTCCCTACCCCAGCTTTTAGCTAATCATAATAATTGACTAATTGGCACCCCCACCCCCATTCTACCAACACACCGGGTAACAAAGCTTCCCCTGTAGTCTGAACAACTAGTTTTAGTTCCAGTGATTTGTTGAGTTGTTTTCTACTGGAAGTTGACCAACCCTGAGTAAAAGGATTTTCTTTCAGGGACGGATGAGAAAACACTGATCAACATCTTCACAGAGAGATCAAATGCTCAGCGGCAGCTCATCGCTAAGGAGTACCGGGCAGCTGCAGGAAAGGTACAGGGTGGGGACGACAGCGGAGAGTGAAAATACCATCCTGGAGTATCTTCCTTCTGCAAAACTAACCAGAATATGCACAAACCCTGCAAAGGCGTTCCTTATGAGACTGGATATGAGCAGGCCTGCCGATGGGGTGGAGGGTGGGGAGTTGCCCTAGAACCTGGAGGTTCAAAGGGGCCTGAGGCTCCGGTCTACACAGCTGCCAAAGTAACACAGAGCCCAGGCCCGTCAAATCGCTGCTGGAGTGCTGCACGATCCAGGCAGTGGTAAAGGCTGAGGAAGGGGCGTGCCACGCTCCAGACCACGCCGAGAGCCAGCTGCCCTCAGCCCTGTCCCTTCCACCGTTGGCCCCGTCCATTCCAGGACCACAGAACCAGCTCATTCCCCCCACCCCACATACTTTGCCCAGGGGCCCACAAAGGCTGTTGGCTCTGCTGGATATGGACATGAATACATCTAAGTAGCTCGATTTGAATGTCTAACCTGCTCTGAGAATAGAAAAGGAACAGTTTGATTAAGAAAAAAACTAACCAATACTAATGCTTTTCAGGGACCCATTATACAGGTGGCAAATGAGTTAAGGCCGGTTGTTAAAAGGCCCCTTTTGCAGCATCTAACTGTTCATTTGTTAGTTGGTCTGGTTAAAAGTATCTAATGCACTGTCTCCTCCATTTCCACTTAGTAATCCATATATTTACATTTCTGTGATTTTTAAAGTCACACCTGGGCTGATCTTAATTTGGCTTTAATTTTGAATGGGGCCTATTCAAAGAGTGGAACTAGCTTTCTAAATAGTTTGTAGTAATTTTTAATGGAAATATTAAAGTGACACAACTATAGGCAAGATGCTTCTGAAAGTAGAAATGACTGAGGCAAAACAGGGTGGAATTATTCCATTACCAACAACTAAACTCCGTAAACTGTCGTTTCATCTGGAAATATGTGATCTGTGAAAGCACAAGCTAATCACCCTGGGTCTTCACTGTTTGTTTAGGACATGAAAGATGATTTGAAGAGTGATCTCTCAGGCAATCTGGAGCATGTTATGGTTGCACTTGTAACACCACCAGCTGTGTTTGATGCTAAACAGCTTAAGAAATCCATGAAAGTAAGTCTGCAAGCAAATTTTTCTTTCTTTTAATTTAGAGCCAATTAGAAAGATGGAAAATATATTTTGTAAAAAGTTTCCATTACATTTTTCCCAAACGAGAAATTATATTTCAGTAGAGAGAAAAAAAAACCCACCAACACTTTTTTGAAAAGCACTTAATTTGGAATGTCTGTTCTGTGCTCAAGAGTCCTGAGATTAGAAGAATGTCAAATGTGTTGTTATGTAGAAGTGACCTGCATTCTCAGAGCTGTGTGTGAATTGTAGCAGACTCTGGTCTATATATTTGCAGATCTGAGAAACTGTTACACCTAATGAGCTGTCTCTTGAGAGGATCAAATAACTTTTCATTTTGGAAGTTGAATCTTTCCATAAACGTTATGTCTTTGCTAAGGTGAATTGTCTGAATCTTGATATTTCAAGTCACAGTATTTGGGGTATTACCTGCTGGTTTATATTTCCACTATATAATGTTTAGAATTCATGTTTCAGGTCATTTGAAACTAAACCCCAGACAACTTCTACACAAACTGTGTATTTTCTTGTATTTCCCTATAAAAACTGTGTATGTGTGTGTGTTTTTTTTTTTTTTTTTTAAGGGTAGTGGAACTAATGAAAAGGCACTAATAGAAATCCTAGCCTCCAGGAGCAGTAAACAAATGAAAGAGGTATCAGAGGCCTACTATACAGGTAATGCTTTTTTGGACAGATGTATATTAGTACTGTTATCTGATTGCAAACCTACCCAGTGCTTCTTGAAAGGATCTATGAAAAGTGACTGTTGAATTTAGGAAGCTGAGTCTTAGATACAAAAGCTATTTTGCAATAATTCCAATCTCTAAAAAAGAGTCTGTTATTAACTGTTAGCAATTGCATGCATCCCATGGGGTGACTTAGTGAGTAGTACTGTAATATCGACAGGTGGAACCAAACCTGGGACCTCTGGAGCTTAGTGCATGAGCCTCAACCACGGGAGCTAAAAGCCAGCTGGCTCTCAGCTAACGCTATACAGTAGGACTCATTCTTTTTCTCTGCAAATGGCATAAGTGCCACTAGATAGGACAGTGCACCACTCCCAGCTGGTGTGTGGGTTACATACTTCCCCTAGCAGAGGAAGTGTGTCCCATGCTTCAGAGACATCTCAATTGAAATCCCAGATGAGCCCCCACTTATAAAGAACTGGACCTGATATTTCGGTATTAGTCTCACCAGTGATATAGATTACAGCAGGGGTGGGCAATAATTTTTGATGGGCGGCCACGCCAAGATTTTAGAAAGTGGTCGAGGGCCGCACTCTTCCATGGTAGTAATGGAGATGTGGGGTTTGGAATGGAGGCTGGGTGCAGAAGGGAGCTTGCAGTAAAGGACTGGGGTGCAAGAGGGAGACTGGAGTCTGGGAGGGAGTTGGGGTGAAGCAGGCGGTTGTGACCTAGGGCAGAAGGTTGGCGTGCAGGGGTTTGGAATGTGACCCAGGGTAGGAGGGGATTGTGATCTGGGGCAAGAGATTGGGGTGCCAGATCTGAGAAAGGGTATGGGTGCAAGATGGGGACAGAGGGTTTGGGTATGTTCATTGGGGGGGCAGACGCCAGAGACAGGTTCTGGCCAGGAGACTTACCAGCCAGGAGCCAAACCAGCCTGCCTGTCTGCCTGCAGAGCTTAAAACATTTCCCTGCCTGCTTGCCTGGCCAAGTGCTTCAGTGAATAACTGAGCCAAGGAGAGGGGCCGTGGTTCTTCTTGGCTGCCTGGTATTCAAACAAGCAGCTTCCATTGGCCATTTCTGTTCAGAAACCGGCCAATGGGATTGTGCTGGGGGCAGAGGCAGCGCCTGAAGCTTCCTGTCTCCCCTCCCGTTTTGAAACAGAAATGCATTTCTGAGTGGCATGTGGGGCAAGCAGGGGAGCCTACCTGAGTCTCCCCATGGGTCATATTTTGCCCAGGCCTGGATTAGAGGGAGGAAAAATCCCCTTCCAATTCACTATTTCCTAGTTTATACATCTAAGAATTGTACTCTTGGCTGAAAGTTCATGTTGAGTTGCTCGTCCATTGTGACTGCTACATCCTTTTGACTCCCTGCTTTCTAGGATACAGTCCCCCATTCCGTAGGTATGGCCTGCATTCTTTGATCTGTCTATGTCCACATGCATATGACTGCACTAAGCGAAAGAGGCTGGATTGTGGGGCTAACTTGTGGATTGATGGATCTTGTCTAGAACCGTTTCACTGATATGTCACAATTGTTGCTGGGTAGGATAGGACAAGAAGGCTACAACAAATCAGCCACTCAGTGATCTTTCCTTGACAGCAGATGCCTTTGCTTATCTTACCTTTGAATTTTCTTTATTTTTTTTTAAATTGAAGAATTAAATTAAATGTTTTGATATTTTTGTTTTTAGTATATAAGAGGAGTCTTAGAGACGACATCAGTTCTGACACCTCTGGTGACTTCAGAAAAGCCCTATTAACTCTGGCAAATGTAAGTTCCTTCTACACAGTCAGTGTAACCACTCCACAGAATGGATATTTATAATTTTAAGTAAGATCTCTGTCAATAGCTGCAGTCATAGTGAATCATCTGACCACGGATACAGTACTCCTAGGCTCAGGGTCTGCATAGCTTCGTTTATTTAAGCATAAGCTCAGAGTACCATGGTAGGCTAGCACTCTTCTAGAGACGAAAGTCCTTCATTGGACCTGTCAGTTGAGATGAATTTGGTCTCCATCTATCAAGTAATAATAACTGGCATCCTCTTCTTGGGCTCTTTGTAGTGCAACAGTGGGGATGTTACAGATTTGGACTGAGGTTTAGTATGGTAAAGCCAATACACAATTTGGACCATGGCTCTGGTCTGGCTACAGCCTTAGCTAATGCTTGTTCCATTCAGGAGCACTAAATCCAGAATTGGAAGGGTCAGGCTTTGTGTCCTACTCCCATAAGAAGCAGAGTGATGCGGTTTCCTCCTTTATCACTCTCCTATTGGAGCCCAGCATTGTTGATCATAATGAGAGGAAGCCATTACTCCTGGCTTGTTTGGAGAGGGGATGAGGCAGTGAGAAGAAAGAGCAGGAGTGGTCGCTTTAGCCTTAAACTACATGTAAAGGCTCAAAAAGACTCAGCCTTCCTCACATACCCTCAGACTGACTTTGGTGTAGCAAGATAATGGCTAGAGCTACTTTTTCATGAGCCACAATAATTATCCTTGGTTGTAGCAGATAGATTGAGAGGTGTGACTGTATTTGAGACATGGTTTCAAATTCTGTACCTTTTATGGGCCTCATTGCTTGCTTTAAAGTTCTCTCCTTATTGCAGGGCAGAAGAGAAGAGACTGTGAAAGTGGATCAGCATCTTGCAAAAAAGGAGGCAGAGGTACAGCAAAGCAAAACGGGCTGAACAGGGATGTGCTTAGCATGTAGGTACTAGGGATGTAATAGTGTAGTCGATTAACCGATAAGCAAAAGCTTATCAGTTAATGCTATAGACTACATGCATTTCCTCCTTCTCCCCCAGCAGCCTGACTCAGTCCTGGCTTGCAATGGGTCCAGGACCTGCCCCTGCTGCGACTCTGCATTTAAAGTGTATTAGGAACCACGTGTGCAGGCAGCCCGGCTCAGTTCTGGCTTGCACTGGGTCTGGAAGCTCAGACACCTCCCCTTCAGATGGGCTGCTGCCACCCCATGCTGTTGCCTCTTTATCAGAGGCAGTACAGGGTGACAGGCAGCCAATCCGTGCGGGGAGCTGGTTTTTAAACTGACTCCCCTGGCAGACCAGCTCCCACTTGGCACCCCACGCTGCTGCCTTTGATACAGAAGCAGCAGTGCGGAGTTGCAGAGGGCTCCTTGGGAGTGGGGCCCCAATGCACTGACTGCTGGCCCCACCCCAGGGACTATAGAATAGTCAAGTAACCGATAAGAATTCATGAGGTTACTCGACTAGTCGATTAATTGATATTTATCGTCCCTGATAGATACAAAGTGTTATCTATTCAATGCAAAGTTAGCTGCTAATCAGCATCTTATCGAGGTGGATTATCAAGAAATTGAGAGTTTTGAACATCCCAAAGTTAAAGTGGAGTGGGCAGAGATGCTATCGGATGTTTCAGTGGTTCCCCCTTCCATTTTATAATTGGTATTCTTCTTTATATAATCCAGTCTATAGAGTACCTACTTTCCAACAATGCATGGTTTCTCGCACTCCAAAGGTTACACTAGCTGTTTTATTATTGCCATTTTATCTATGGCGAGAGCAGACATGAACACAGATTTCTTTGTGAGATTTCAAAATGGCCTATGGAGAGAGTTTCATTTTATTCTCACTTCCCCCTCACCGTGTAAATCTTTGGATTTCCCCCTTCTTGCTGCCACCAAGGGAGGTGCAGAATTTGGGCCCTGTGATCATGGGCCTACACAAACTGCATGACTCACTCAAAACATGCTTAGAGGGACATGTGAGTGGTGCTGATGGTATCCATAAAACACCATCCCAGTTGAGCCAGTGGGAGAATTATTATAAAGCCTCTATATGAAGAAGGCCCCATATCCACAGATGCCCTTGGGTTCCTTAGAGCTTCCCCCATCCATTCCACCCTCTACCCTGAATAAAAGGCATGTTTACAAGGTCCAGATTTGTGTTTGGCCCATTGGAATTAACTCTAACATTCTCTTTGTGATAAATCACATCTTTCAGAAAGCAAATACAGGCTGAACCTCTCTAGTTCGGCACTCACCAGCCGTGGTCTGGCATGATTTCAGTTAGCTGGATGTCCGCTTACCATGGGTGTGGTCAAGTTTCCCGCAGTCCCATGAAGTATGTTTGCAGCCACCAGTCCTGTGTCTCAGTGTTCTGTGCTGTCATTTAGCTCTAATTTATTCCAAAATGTCTTCTAAGAGCCCAGTAAGCAGTGGAAGTGCTGGTAATGCTGCTAGACAATATTGACCTCCCGTGGTTTGGCAAATTCTCTTGATCAGCACCAGTCTGGTCCTGAGTGTGCTGGAGTAGAGAGAGCCAAACTGTATTTCCAATACTGTTGTATTCATGGAAAAAATCTCCTCTACTTTAACAAATACGAATCCCTAAATGTCTGTCCCCCACCGTGGAAGATGTTCCAATGCCGCTCAACAGACAGGCAAGTTCTGCTTTTTTATCACAACACACGTCAACTTTCCAGGCTTGCGTTTCAGCAGACCGCAACAGCAATGCCATGGCACCGCAATCAAATCCAGTACACTGCCCCCATTAACAGCCTTGTTCTCAGAAAATAGCGAAAGTGCCGAGACTAGTCTGAAGTGGCACAGCCACCTGTTTTTCCTGTGAGAAGTCTAGTCTAATGGCCACACTGATGTACTTCTTTCCTTGTAATAGGTTCTCTATAATGCTGGTGAGAAGAAGTGGGGTACAGATGAAGATAAATTCACTGAAATTCTGTGCCTCAGGAGCATGCCTCAACTCAAATTAAGTATGAAATCATTTTGTGATGCGTATGTGTAATTTCGATTGAGCTGCCATTCACTCTTCCTGTCCCGTCCTCAATTCATGGGTCCATCAACTTTTCTGAAGCTTGCAGAGTAAAAACCCCTGAGTTTCTAGCTCTTGTGGTTGTGCAGATAGACAGTACTGTGTCTGTTCCCATGTGAAAGGCTTAGTAAGTCAGCAAGCTGAAAGAATAGCTCCAGGATCCATGTATTGTCCTTGCTGAGTGTGCCACTTCAGTGTGTTTGTAGATTTCAAATGGGCTCTTCCTGTATTTTTTATTTTTATTCCCATTTTTGCAGGAGAAGAGATGGAAAATTTGATCTTAAACCCAGGCAGCAGGTCTTATTTTACTTCTCTATGTCTCCAAGGACTGTGTGGATTGCATAGCATGCTTTAAATGCAACTGTCTGCATGTAGCAATGCCAGGCAGACTTGGTACTGAGCAAACCTGTGATAAGGAAGTAGTTGAGTTTTGATGTTTTGCGAGTCTCAAAATGCATCTTTTCCTTACAGCTGTTGGAATGTGCTGCATGAGACACCCTCTTCTTGTCATAAAGAAACCTGTCTCTACTCCCAGTAGCATTAGAGTGTCATGCCTAGCTTTATGATTATTAAAGCAAGACCATTCGGTACACTGATTAACTGTAGCAGGGTCTGACATGCCGCATTAAAGAACAGAGGTGAACGGACTTGAGAGAGAGCAAGTGATGAGCATTAAAACGATGGCACCTGAAGGTTGTTTATTCCTTAGCAGAATTTCTACAAATACACACCTTGATTGGCTTAAAACAACGGCCAATGTTGCTCTCGTCCTACTGTGTGTGTTCATCAAAGACCTGATCCAAAGAATATTGAAATCAGCGGAAAGATTCCCATTCATTTTGCTAAGGTTTGGATCAGCCCCCGAATGGAGTCTGACTCATGAGAACATGGAGTAATTTCCCTCTGATTAAAAAAGAGTAGTCTTATGGCACTTTATAGACTAAGGCTACATCTAGACTACAAAGGTAAGTCGGAAAAAGATACACAAATTGTGAACCACAATTTGCGTATTTTTTCTGCTTTTCTGTCAAAAGAGGCTTTCCAAAATTTGGCACGTCTACACGGCGCCAAATATCAGAAAAACCTGCTCTTTTGACACAACCCTTCTTCCTCATAAAACGAGGTTTACAGGAATGGCGAAAGAGTGCATCCACTTTTTTGAACATCTTTCCGAAAAAGTGGACGTGTTCTTTGGATACAGCATTGCTTTTCTGGGATAGTTCCGGTATCCCAGAAAAGTGCTGTAGTCTAGACATAGCCTAACAAAAATATGTAGTATCTTAAGTTTTCATGGGTTTTACCTATGAAAGTTCATGATACTATATATTTTTGTTAGTCTCTAAGGTGCCACAGGACTACTCGTTTGTAAAATTACAGACGAACACAATGACCCCCCCTGAGACTTTTTTCCCCCGGGATAGTTTGATATACTTACTACGTATGTTTGGTTGTCTTTAGCATTTGATGAATATAAGAACATCAGCAAGAAGACCATTGAAGAAAGCATACAGGGTGAAATGTCTGGGCATTTTGAAGATTTACTCTTAGCCATTGGTAAGATTCTTTGGCCAGAGGGTGGGGTTGAGGGGGAGGGCAGATGACAAAAGGTAAAATGTTAATCTGTGTGTGTTTAAATTACAGAGCTGTTTAGCTCTTGTTTGCAGTGCAGCAGTGTAATGCTTAATGAAGTAATACTGCTTCTAACGCTGATTTAGGTTTACATAAAGAGAAGATCTTGTTAGTTCTTCAGCAAATGGAAGGCGATGTTTGTGTTTATAAATAGTACGGGGGCAGCACTTTGCAACCCTAGTCCTGGACAATGACGACCTTGTGCTAAGTGCTGGACATCAGGCACACCCTACCATAATTTTATACCGACAATTTGCAAGTGCCCAGAAAGCCAGCAATTCATCCTTGAGGATATTTTTAATGGTGACGCAAAGGACTAGTTGTGCAGGTCACCAGACTTCACCTACTCAGTGTGCTGAACCATCTCTAGAGCGCTCTGGAATTTTCAGGGAAGGCCTGGAGGTTCCGAGAAGTCTTACCGTTCTTAACTATAGAAATGTTTGAACTAAAACTACGTGGCCAGATTCAGACCTAATACAACTGGCCTAATACATTCAGACCTAATACATCTCTCATGGGAGGGTATGTAAAATGCATGTATTTTACCAGCTTGAAGCATGCACAGGAAGAGATCTATGAAGTGAATACAGCATTCGCCAAGTACCTGTGTATATACCTGATTTGTGCATGCATGCTGGGTATTTGCTGGCATGTACAATTGTATTTACTTAAGTACAGCCAGATTTTCAAACCTGTCCTGGCCGTGCATAATGGAAGTGAGTGAGGGCTTGTAAGCCAAAGAAAGTTTGTATGGTGATACTGTTGAAGAGCAGGCCATTCTAACTAACTTTAAACTTTTCTTTTAATAGTTAAATGTGTGAATAACACGCCTGCATTCTTTGCTGAGAGACTGCACCAGTCTTTGAAGGTAGGTTTTCAACTTCCATATCCATCCTGGAGCGCTTGTAAATCTTTAAGAGAATAGCTAATTTCCAATAGTAATGTCAGTAAATAACAAATGGGACTGATTCCTTACCACAGATAATTGTTGGAGTCCTGTTAAGTGGGGAGGGCAATGCTATTTCTAAATGGAGATGCTGATTTTAGCCTAATTTACATAATGTTTTATACAGTGTATTGTACTATGTAGCTCTTCTCTGTTTTATCAGGGTGCTGGAACTGATGAATTCACTCTTAATAGAATCATGGTTTCCAGGTCAGAAATTGACCTGTTGGATATTCGAGCAGAATATAAGAAGCTTTATGGTTGCTCCTTGTACTCCGCTATAAAAGTAAGAATTATTTTAATGAACTATTTTGTATATTGTAAAGAAGTTATGTAACATATGTGCCACCTCATTCAGTAGAACTTTTTTCAATATGTTTCTCTATTTTGGGGAATGTGTAAAAGTTTTATATTTGGAAGCTCCAAATGTGTTACATGGGAGTAAGCAAGGAGGTGTTAGAGGAGTTTGGAAAGGACGTGGTATAGCTCCAGCATCTGTGTTCTGGATAAAATGGAGTCAAATGTCAATTGGAGAGGTCAGAAAGCTGGTGACCAGTGGCAGGAGATGACTACAAAATAGAGAAGAATGTTAGCTAGTGTACCCGATATTTAGTGCATGCTAGACCTGTCCTCTTTTCTTAGTTAAGACAAAACATGAGTTCTGCAAACCTAAATTGGTCGCAAATGGAATCAATAAGCTGGCACTGATTAATTCTAAACAAATTGATAGTTCAAAGAGCTCTGGCCCATTCAGTGAGTTTAATTACTGAACTCATATACTGAGGAACAAATATGCATGGAGTACACAAATATCAGGAGTAGCAAAGCTTGTTAGTACTATTTAAATACTAGCCAATTAGCCTGTCGTAAGATGGGATTTTCAGGTCTCTCCTCCACATCGGTCTTCCCTCCTGTGCCTCCGGTCTCTCACTCCATCTCTCTCTCTCTCTCTCTCTCTTCTCCTCCTACTGCCTCCCCCCGGCCCCAGCTCTCCTTCGCCTCCTGCCTCTCTCTTTCTCTTCTCCTCCCCCTCCTGCATCTTACTCGGTGGACCACGGAGCCCAAACAGTCACTTGCACCACTTGCTCCCACACGACGACCTGGCTGAGCAGCGCACAAGTCAGCCGAGCACCATGGCGGGAGGCGAAGGGGCGGGGGGGGCGGGGGCGGC